ATGTCTTTTTCTTTCTTACTCTATGACATCAGCCTGTGATGTGAAGGGACATTCTAACCAAAAGAAAGTTCAGTTCCTATGTGTCAAAATTATTTAATTTTAAGGAAAGTGTGGTTGATCAGGGCTATTGCATTATTAAGTCATTTAAACAGTGAGATTAGTGAGGAAAAAGATTTGCAAAGGGGATTGGGGTTGGGATTAATGCTCCCTGGCTATTGCTCATCTGATTCTTTCCATTTGGGAGGACTGCCAGCTAAATCCACATAATGAATAAACTACTTCTGGAGAAGTGCAGGATAAAAGAGGGAGAAAGAAGACATGGTGAATGAGCTCTCTCTATTGTTTCTCATCTCCCCTATCATCATCAGTTCCAGTTTGATTGACAGCTTTGAAAATAAACAGCATGGCACCCCCTGGGTTTATCATTTTATCTTTCCTTTCAGCTTTAGAGCGAATTAGGAAAAGTTTAATCCACTTGCAATGTTTTATATTACATGTTTGATGACAAACAACCTTAAGTTTATAAGTGACAGTTTTCCTGCTAAATACCTGCATGTCATAACCACTTGAATTAAAATTACCATATTGAAATCAAATCTGATGTTTTTTTTAATTTTTATTTGGTGCGCCTCGGAAGAGGGGTAGTCTTATACAGCGAGTATAGCCCAAACCCTATATTTTAACAGGAAAAGTAGGGTGTCGTCTTGTATACCCAGTCGCCTTATATGCCGGAAAATACGGTAAGTAGTATTTTATGGTCTTAGAAGGGCTGCAGTGAGGAGAAGGGAGATGCAAAGCTGCTTCTACAAAACCTGTTTCATTTGCCTAAATCTGGATTCCACTCATTAGAATTATCCATTTTGAAACTTATTTACCATTTATACAACTCATTTCCGACATTTATATTATTATGTGCTACTATAAAGGTTTATAGGAGTTGGACAAAAGTGTTCTAGAGAGTGCCTTCTTAATTATTTTATCCATATTATGCCACTTTATCTCTTTTTCTCAAACTTGGCATCTTTAAATTGTGTTCAATTGCCAGAATTTCCCAGCCAGCCTGGGGAATTGCCCT